TTGTTCTCGAATTAATAATCAATTTTGAGAGTCGCTCAATACAAATCAATTAATGAGTTTAAAATTTTTCTATTTATTGTTATAATTTAAATGTTACAAAAAGATGCCATATATTGTATATGAAAGCAATTCTCTGAATTAAACTCATAGAGTGAGTATTAAATTTAAATATGCGAATAACAACGATTTAAATTAGCTAACCAGATCAAAAGATGTTCAAAAACTTCGAATTTATTGAGTATGTACAATTATTTTCATTAAATTTTAAATTTTTTTGTGATTGCACTCAATTTGTAATTGTTAGTTCTAAAATACATTCAATACTTTAACAATTACCATACCATGTTAAAACATAAGCTTTACGACAAATATATGTTACGTTGATGTAATAACTCTGACGTTTCATGTATACACGGTGTTCAAAGACAAAAAAACTATTATTTATTATTAGTCAATATTTCGGGAAGTTTATAAGATGGGAGTGAAGTTTACCTTTAATATTAGTCAGTTTAATAAAAATATTTTTTGAGGTAAGAAGAGTAAAAGTTTAACAAAAGCTTAAAATCAAAATTAGTTAAATTTCATTGACGCAATTTCCTTCCGGGATATTTTTTCATTTACTTTGAACTTTGTTCTAATTTCTTTTGATATTTTGTTTTTGCCTTTGTGATCTTAAACATGTTTAAGTTTAGGTTATGTCAACATAAAACTTTTAAAATGGGTTTGTTAAAATTTCCAATTTTTTCTTTTTGTTTATTTTTTTATCAATTATTTACGAGGGTGAATTGAGAAAATTAATTTTTCAATTATGACAGAAAACAATGAAATGTCGGGATGTAAAAATTGTAAAAAGCTGTAAGCAATATGTAGTACTCGTATATGTATTTCTGTTTTATAAGACTAAAGACTTCTTGAGACTTTACAGAATTTGTTTGGTTTCATGGTTCGATTTTTGTTAGCCTACTTTTGTTTTCTAGTTTTGTATTGTTGTAACTGTTTTTGTCATTTTGCTATGCGTTAAAACCTACTAATATTGGAAATTCACTAATATACATTATAGGATAAGTAATATTACATTAATATTCATAATTCAGAACTGTGTTATCAATAATTCAGCAAGTTACACTCATAAGCTAAAGTATAATTTGAATATAAAGCGGTGTAGTACTACTGTGATTCGGAAGTCACATGCTCCGATCCGCTATTCTTTTTAAGATATTTTCCATACGTCGATAACATTTAAATTTGTTAAGAAAATTTCAGATATAAAATCAATTTGACTCTGACATAAGCTACATAATTTTAGTTGCTGAATAACATTTACCTTGCAGAAAAGCCTATATTTAAAAGCCATTTATTATTTATTTCATTATGAATTATTGTTTTATAAAATACTATGCATGTGCATACCTCGTCCTAATCATTCTGTTCCAAGTATTTACTCTTATTTGTAATAGGGGACAAATATAAATAGAAGAAAATCATTGCCACATGTCACAAATAATAAAAGCATAATGTAATATTATGTGCATGTACGAGTATCAAATATAAGTAATTTTAGTTTAGTTACAGAGTGCACCACTATGCCATATTAAGTAAACTTTCCACCGTCGTTTTATTTAAATTTTTGTTGCAGAAAAATTTTTTTAAACACTAAGTGCGAATCAATAATTATGAAAGTATTTTCCTGAATTTTCACGTAATTTTTCGGTTTTGTTTTATTTAATATTTTTTAGGATTTAAACCTGATATCATTGGCATATCAAAAAAAAAAACTAAGTGACTTTTATTCAAGATATCTCTAATTTTAAGCTGTTCTGGGTCATGTTGTCTACATAATTTCAATATGAAGCGAAATAATTCGTTTTGAGTGATGAAGCGAGTTAGTTTTCTTTTATGACAAAAGATTTCCCTTGTATATTTAAAACGGTATTCTATTTTTAATGAAACATTCTGTACGCTTTAAAACGGTCTATTTTTAAAGACGATCCTTAAGTAAACATTAAAAGTGAGCATGTTTTTACCTTTTTAAATCAGTAAATTTTTTTTGTTTTAATTTTTTCTCTTGAAAAAAAATATAATGAAATTATTTTTTTTCTGTTCTGAATGATTTGATGGATCATTATTGCTCTGCTACAGATGTAGGTGTTAATATGTGAAATTATAAGTTTTGATGCTTATTTAAAACGCACTTTCTTAAAAAACTCTTTTAAAATCATTATTTTCTTTAATTTTATACTTACTATACGATACAATTACAACCTATATAACATATGCTAGACGTACAGGAAGGAAGTTATCACCGGCATCATAATTAAACAAAAGAATTTTTTTTTTTTGATTTCGAAAGAGAAGACAAAAATGAAAAAAGAAGAAAACAAATAGAAACGATGAAAACAAGCCTTGATTATCATTTACACTATTAGGTATAACCTTATTTGAATAATGTTTTTAGGTTTTTGACACGGCCACTTGAACGTATTTCCAAAAAAAAAATGTACTCGAAATAATCGTAATGAACTCCAAAGTTTTGACTATTTTTTGTTAGTTTTTGTTTTGTTGTGTTTTGTAGAAATGCCGATTAGTTTTTAATTGACAAAATTAATTCAATGATGAGCATTGAATAAACGAAAAACACAAAGAATATTAACACTATAGTATAGATTTTAGAATCCGCCCAGATAAACTGTACGAAATGCAAGGTCACTACTTATATTTTATTGTAGGAGTTTCATTATTTTATTGTTGAACACTCATACTTTGAGCGTGAACTAACCCAGAAAAACAAAATTTTCGTAATATTATATCAATAGTTGACTTGTTTAAATAACAAGGCTTGGATTTCTGTCATTTCTAGAATTTTTCAATTGATATTAAGCTTATTAGAACATAAAAAACAAAAAAATTCTAAAACCTGAACTTTTAAGCTCCCCTGTTTACATTTTAAATTATGGGAGGGCAGTTTGTATGAGGCTTCCGCAATTTTGATCCAAATGGTAGGCATCATAGTTGCAAATAATATAGTAAAATAAATTAATGTACTTACATATACTTTATGAATAGTAGTGCGGTAATAGAAACTTTCTCCTCGGCCGAATGCAGTACCTTAAAATAATTATCATCGACGGTGAGTAAATTCCCCTTAGAAACGTATGAAGCGTAAGTCAAATCTTCCATTGAAGAAAATTTTCCATTCAACCAGAGTTTGAGAAATTGTAGGACATGTAAAGTTAATGTGTTGCTTTAGAAGCTAAATTAAGCATTAGGTTGAATAAGTTTTCGACAGTACGCGCCATATAGTGTTGCCTTTTCTATATTTACATAATGTTATTTACAGCAGCAGGATATAAAAAAGCGGAGCGTATGCCTGAGGTGTTCACAATATTTTATATATAAGAAAACTTTCTACTGAATTATTATTTTGGTCTATATTCCAACTCAAATCTAATGAGATTCAAAGAATTTATTTTTAATGTTACTTCGAATAATTTGATATTCGATTTGAGTAAATTAATGATTAAAATCAAATTTTTTATTCATTTAGCAAAAATTTTATGAATTTTTTTATGATTTTTTTTTACTGATAAATTATCCAAAGATTTATTAGGCTCCTTTTTGTCAAAAATTAAAATAAGATTAAAAAAACAAATGGAATAAAAGTTAAAATTTAAATTATTAAAAGAAAAAAATTTAAGTGACGAATAGTCAATAGAGTTTTATTAATAAAAAATGCTAAAAAAACATCGAAAAAATCCCATTAATTTAAATAAAAAACAATAAAAAATGGTCATAAAAAATGTTTTTGTTTTAAAGACTTTGTAGTTTTGTTTTATAGCTCTATAATAATTATTACATTAATATTATAGTTTTTATATTGTAGAAATAAAAATAAAAATCACAACTTGCATATTATTATAAATATAAATTTTATACATGTGTATGTATATATATATATATATATATATGAGAATAATATAAAAATTAAGTAAACAGTAAACGAGAGACATGACAAGATATGCTTTTAGATATTCAAATTAATTATGTTATACGATAATAGTTCTAAAAATATAGCTTTTAAAATACTTAAAATTTATTATTTTATTCCAACTGATTAGTGTGATTAAAAATTTGGTCTCCTCCGAAATAATTTAGACCAAATATTAATCTATAAGAATGCTTAAATTAGAACGTAGAGGAAGTTGAAGTCGAGATTTAGAAATTATTGAAAAATCAAAATGAATTGTAACAAATGATCCAAATACGAAAGTCTTATGATATTCCAAAATTCAATACTCAATCCGGTACTACAAAGATTCCAAAAACTGCGAAATTTTTTTCGAAAATTCAAATCGCAAGAGGCATAAAGTATTATTGAGCTTTACCGTCGCTCATGACAATTTCTTATCAATTTTCATTTTATTTTTATATATTTTGTATAATTTTTAAATTAATATGTTGTTTTATAGTTTTGCTACAATTTGCATTAAGATATTTGTCATTTTTTCTTATAATTTAATTAAAATGATCATTGGCTCACAAATTATAAAATGTATGAAAAGTTTCTAATGTATATGAAATTAAAAAAAAATTTGCAAAAATAAATAAAATATCTCGAAAAAAAGGGAAAATTGTTGAAGTACTGAAAAGCCCATGATTTCTTTTCAATTAAAATGTTGAAAACGCTAGGTGTCTTTGATAAAAGCATGAATACCCGCTGTCGTTCTAGACTATAAGTGAGGTTTTTGAAAACATTGTAAAATTGCCTAAAATAGTTGTTTTACAATTATTATGGTTTTAATTGAATCGAAAAATCTATGCGCAATGCAATAAAACTCATATTATGTATATACGAACACCCCTGTTTACATGGTATTTGTATTTTCTAATTTTCGCAAAATTTTTAATAGAAACTGCTTAAATTAAGTATTCTTTTTAAATATTCAACATAATTGAAATTTAAATGTGTATATATACCTTATAAAGATTACTAAATATTACAGATGGAAGGTTGTGGAGATAATTCAAATCAGCAAAACGAGATAATGAGAAGTATTAAAAGAGAAAATGGTTCTCAATCACCTTTGGCTAATAACGATACAAAACAAAATCAACAAGACCAGCAAAATCATATACAACAATCGGGAGTTCAAATGTCACCACAAAATTTACAAATAACGGCAAGTACAACATCAACCGGAATAGATACGAATCATCAAGATGCACAACAAGTTGTAACGACTTCGTCACCAAATTCGCCATCACAAACTGTAGTTCCGAATTCTTCCGGCCAAACTATTATTAATGCAGTTGTTGTACAACGTACTGCGCCACAACAAAGACGAATTTTGACTACTTCTGGAACTGTAAGGTAAAAAGGAAGACATTAAGAATTTTGATAAACATATTTTACTAATAGCAGAAAATATAATTAAATTTTTTTAGGGAAATTGCAGATCAACGAGATATCGATTCTGAAGAATATCACTCAAATGATTATGGTCAAATAACATCTCGTGCAGAAGATCAGAACAATGGAAATGGTGTTGCACCACAAACTGGCAGCGTAGCTGTATATTATGAAAATTCTGAGTTAGTTTCTTATACAGGTCCTAATGGAGAAGCTAATGATATCAAAGATAATGTTGAACCAATTAATGCAAATATTCGACATCAACATATTGTTCAAGAATCACTTCATCCCTCAGCTTCAACAGGATTAAGTAGACAATCGCTAACAGCTTCTGCAGTAGCTTTACAAAATCACACTACAACAACAACAATTAGTGTTCAAGATTTACAACGTTATAGCGAAGAAGGTCGGCTTGTTACTAATGCTAATGGTGAATATGTTCTCTTTAATGATCAACCAGTTGAAGGGAAAACTTATGCTAATCTGGCGTCATCTAACACTATCCAAAATGTGAGTGATTCAAGTTATTTTCCGGCAAACTATTCAACGACAACATCATATGCTATGAATCCATTGATATTGAACAATGATCCAAATTTGGCGTCAGCAGTGAGACCTAATAGCCATTTTGGAGCAGTACAACCTTCTTACGATCAAAGTCAAAATAATGTTTCAATTAGTGAAGCTCAATATTGGTCAACAGCTGCAAATCAACCTGAATTTATGGTATTTTAAATATGTTTTTTACTAATACAAACAATTGACATAATTTTTTTTCTTTTAGAACAATAATTTTGCAACAACGTATAGCGTTAATCCAATTAGCGATGATTATTCATGGGCACCCTCCTCATATTGTCGTTATTGTACTTTACCCTTATTACGTAAAGAAAATGGTGAAGTCTATTGTACTTCTTGTGCCCAAGCACGAATACCTACAGCCTCAGTTGCAGGAGCAGGAGGAGGTGGACCTGGTGGTATCGGGTTAATGCTATCATCAAACCATTCTCACCATCACCTTCAGAGAGCACCACAAAGGCAATCACGTCCAAGAGCACAGCAAACACAAGCTAATAATCGCCGGAATGGTGTAATATGCGCCAATTGTAAAACAAATCAAACAACATTATGGCGTCGAAATAATGATGGACAACCAGTTTGTAATGCGTGTGGTTTATATTTTAAGCTACATAATATACCACGTCCTCTTTCAATGAAAAAGGAAGGAATACAAAAACGTAAACGTAAACCAAAAAGCACCACACCAGTTCATCCAATTAATAATAGGCAATCCTTGCCAAGTATATAAATTTATAACAACAAATGCGATAATATTAATTTTGTTGTTTATTTTTTAGGTATGGTAATGCATGGTTCACCAATGTATCCATCTCAAATTAATTTACCGATAAACGGAAACCATAATGACTTGTCAATACCGAATTTAAGTGGTCCACATTTTGTAACTAGTGATGGTATACAAATACATCGTCATCATCAACATTCACCAGCATTACATTTAAATCCGCATCACACAGCACATACAATAACATCATCAATGGCTGGAGGTGTTACAACTTCAGGTGCTGTTGTTACTTCAGCATCTTCTTCTATGCATCCTGGGGCAATATTGATACCAACAAGTGCAACTACATCTTCATCACCTAACACTAATCAATTGGGGCAACAACATAATAATAATGTACATCAACCTCAGCAGCAACAACATCAACAATCGAATAGTCAACAATTTAATTCAAATGTAAGCAATAACAACAACAATAATAATAATAGCGGTAATGGAAGCGAACAATCATCTCAAAGTCAATCACCACATTCCAATAGTATGAATAGGCAAGGAAATCAATCGTAAGTTAAAATCTACAGTTGATTAATAAATTCAAGTTGCCTGTAAAAATTGAAAGTAATTGTTGTTTTTTATTTTGTAATTATTTTAGTGTTCCACCAATTGATAGTAATCGGACATCAATTCAAAATGGCGAAATTGTTACAAGTGTAATAACAAGTACTGGAATACCAGATCGTTCAACAAATAATTAACTTTAATACTAGAATATTTTTTTTTTTGATAGAAAAGCCAAATTAATGAAATTTAAGGCCAAAAAAATGGTGCCAAATATTTAAAGACAAATTTTTCTTTTTGTTTTCTTATAAGTAAATGTTATTTTTGTAAATACTTAAATGTTTTCAAGAATAATATTAATTAAAAAATATAAAATAAGTAAATTTAGTTCCCCACAGTGTCCCGTAAAATTAAATTTAAAATAATTTTAGATTTTAATTTTGTTATGAGAAAATTTAGAATAATGTAGAAAACAAAAAATATATAAAATTTCGAATATAACTTTCATTCGAATTTATTGCATTACAACAAAGTTGTTCCAATTGAGATTAATTATTAGTTAATAATTAATCTTGCCATTAACCGGTCAAATTTTATAATTTATGATATAAAATGTATTTTGTGTTCGGGGATCAACCATCTCCGATATTCATTATATATATATTTGAATATAATAATAATAGCTATATGTCAATATACCACATGTATAAGTTTGCAATAAAAATTTTCATATCAATGCTTGCTTTCATTTAAAGGCCAGAAACCACTTGATGTGTGTAACGTTCCAAGTATATAACACTTTTTACTATTTACAATAGTCTATTAGAAGGTGTAATTGAGAACAAATAAATACGTTTATTTCAATATATAGCCTTACGTATATACCCGAAATTTCAATTACCCGTAAGCAGTTTAGAATGTTGCATACGCCTGAAATGAAAACAAATAATATAAAATATTTATAACACTTTTAGATTTTATGTAAATTTCTTTTATTTGTTAAATTGAAATTAAAAATACAATATTATAGTTTTAGAATTTTTTAAAAAAAGTTTAATATACGATTTTAGCCATTGTAATAATTTTATTTTAAACATTCCCGTTACCGAATTAAAAACAAATTGAAACAATTGAAATGTAAAAATTATTTATTATATAAGATCGTTTTTATTTTAACGTATAAGACTTTTTTTTTATACCAAAGCTATTAGGTAATAATAAAAGAATAAAATAAAAATTATTTTAATTTTTAATTAATTAAACTAGCAATAACATGGACGGAATATAAAATGGAAACGAAAAAAAATTTTGATGTTATTAAAGCACTAATAAAGCTTTAATAATGCAGTGTTCGGGATCTTTTGGCAAGATTTGTAGTATTAAATTCAAATCAAACTTCCCGCAAATTAAATTTAAGTACATTCCGATTTATATCTGTTGTGTGTCAGAAAACCAAACTTTTAACACTATATATCATTATTGCATTTCTTAAAAATTTTTGTATAATATGAATTGTAAGTAAAGTTCATTATGAACTGTTTTTACGCTAATCTACTTTATCACGCTAATATTACCAAATTTTGCATATTTCCAGCCCCCAAATATAGGCAATATTCAGATACATACTTATTTAACTATGAAATGCAAGACTATTACAGAAATCCTCTAGAATATTTATGAATATAATGCCAATATTTATATATTTTTAAGCCCGTAAGTAACCATTCAACTAAATTATCAAATTTTTAATGAGTCTATTAAATATAAGCTCAAAAAGGCTTATTGCGCTCAAAAAATTTTTTAAGTTTTAATTATTATGTAAGGCTCTTTTGTACTTGAACAATATGCAATTTTCTCAGAGGTCGCTATATATTTCATAAGATTTATCAAGTTGAAAATTAACTTTATAAAATTAAATTTTGAGAGTGAAATTATTCTTTTATTTTATATACATATTTACATAGATGTATATCGTATTTGCGACAAATATAGACTTCATATATGTTATTTTTTGACTTAAATTTATTACGTGAATAATAATTTATGTCATGATATATTTTTTTTGACGCATGCAATAAAAAATTCTGTATTATTAACACCATATTTTTTCAATATAATTTTTTTCAACTATGTTTGAGTGTATTGGTTCCATTTTAAAAATAATTATTAATTTAATTATTTTTTTTATTATATTCATTAATTATTAAATTAATTTTTTTTTTTTGAATCATCACGGTTCTGTTTAAACGCTTTTAATTTTCAATAATTTTATTTTTTCATCTAATACAAGAACATGTAAATATGTGAATATAATCAGAATATTCTAAATTGCTCAGACTTTTATAATGGTCTCTTTTCAAAGTCCATTTGAGATAAATATAAAAACTTTAGAAAAAAAAAACAAAAACAGAACAGCATAAAAAAATGTAGATAAATACCAGAAAAGAAAAATGTTTCCAGTATATGAAAAGTGTCAGTTATATAGTAATTTAAAAACTTAATAAACAGAATTTGGCAATCTTATGAAATTTTTATAAAAATTGGAGAGCAATATGAAAGGTTTTAACTACATTGATTTTTATGTAAAAAACTGGAACACTTAAAGGAAAATCGTATTGAATTTGATCTTGAACAGTATTATAGAAATCTCATGTAAAGTTTAGTGGATTTTTAAATAACAATGAAAGCACAGTCAAGTAAATTGACTTTATCCGGCCACCCGTCTTTCCGTTCGTTTGCCTTTAAGAAAAAAGTCGAAATTTTATACAAAAATAGATCTTTACTGGTAACTTATTTCAGTGGAAAAAAGATTTTATTTATTATATCGGAAAATTTTTTAAAATTCTCCAAACGTACAATAGGGGCTACTGACTTCCTCAGCCCCATGGTAATACTGCATATACAATACAGTATAGTCAAATTTAGTATGACAAAATTGTTTAAAATTGACCGTTGTCTTGTACTTGTTTAGACGCTAATAAACAATTTATTTCATCAGAAGAAAAGTTTTTTTTCTATAACTACCTCCTCCAAAGTTATCGCATCTCGAAACTAGTAAAATTTAAATTTATTTCGCGTCTTATATTTCCGAAACTTCCGTAAAAATTTTTCCGAAGCTTTTCCGAATTTCCGTAACAATTAGAAACTGACGGTAAATGCCATATTATCAAAAACTTTAATTATTTGGGTTAACTCAATCACTTAACCGTCAGATTCGACCATAATGTTAATTCTTATTCAAATGTTTTTCATCCTAAATATATGCAAAAATTTAATATTTGTTCTATTTGTGAGAATTGGATATGATTCGCATGATAAAATCGCAACTCGTTAAAATTGCGTTAATAAATTTAAAATCTTAAAAATTTATCGAATTTATTTAAATAAATTTGAAGGTTGCATATCACTGACTTTATACTAAGAATCTTCTAATCCTTTTCAAGATGTTCTTTAAAACACCAAAAATAAAAATTAATTTTCAATTTTGCCTTTTTCCATATTTAAAATCGTATTGCTCCGATATATTTTCTGTTTAAATTTTTTATTTTTCAGTTCTTCTTCATCGATTAAATAAATTTTCTTTTCGAGAAGGTTTTTTTTTTTTATTTTATTTTTCATTTGTAGTAGAAAAGGTGGAAGAAAAGATGCATTAAACATATTTTAATTTAATTTTTTTTCTCTTCTTTACATTTTAGGAATCTTGCCACAAAAAAAAACAAGAGTTGAATAATATACGAGTGCTATATTATGTACCTAAAGAAACGCAATAAGAAGACAAGAGTTTGATCGTGCCAAAGATTTATGTGATGGCGATTCTCGACTGCACTTGAAGATGATACGAAAATATTTTGTTAGATTACTTACAACTTACAAAAGAACTTTAGTAATGACAAGAAGAGTGCATGATTTTTTTTTCAATATTTGCTTTTTTTATTTGAATTTTTTATATTTTAAAAAATGTACTGTGATTCACGAGAAAATTTTATTCTTCAATAGTAAAGTAATGGTAGTAAAAAGAATGCATAAATGCAAAAGAAGGAAAGATGTGCACAGTAAAATGAAAACAAAATAAAAAAAAAAAAACAAACAAACTATCAACGTGAGATTTACGAGAACTTTTTCATATCGTCATCTTAAGTATTTGAAATTGAGAAAGGAGGATAAAAAATACAACAATAAAATGAAAAGAAAAAGAAACACAATAAAATAAAAGTTGGGATAAAATTAATATAAGGAAGATTTTCAAGTACTTTTCTGATAATATATGAAAAAATATACGAGTATACATGTATGTATATACAAAGTTCCTATATATACAAGAAGAGTATATAAAAAAAAAAATACAATAAAATTGATAAATTGTGATTAATCACTATAGCAGTTGGATAAATAGGAATTTAGATATTTGCATTTAAAATCCTGACATTTATAGTAGTAAAATAAAATTTATAATACCAACTATTTTAATTATATTTTGTAGTAAAGTACATTTTATCTTTAATTGAAATTAAAATTAAGTATATGATGACTTGAGAATCATTTGTATTAATAGGGTACTTGTATGCTTAAAATAGTATAAGCAGGTATTTAAGGTAATAATTTTAAGTACTTGGAAGAAAGCATGGAAGCGATGCAATGTTAGCAAGATGAATTTGATTAACATTGGTTAGATGGTCGATTTATTGAAAAATTGTACATAAATTGTGGTAACATCTCACTGTTTATAAAATTTTCTTATAACTTCAGTTTCCATATGTTTCAGAGAGCTTCTGTGGATTCATTAGAACATATTCTGGCTTGTTGCTTCAAAATAGCAGAGAATATGTTCGGCTGTATCAACTCCATCACATTGAATTTTAGGCAAACAGTTGGTAATCCATTTTCAAATTTAAATACATTTGTATTTTTTATTATTATAATCACTATCAAACATTATTTTGCACTATCAAACATTGTTTTGTTTGATTCGATCGAAATCTGATGAAAGTTTGATAAGTAAAACGTGTGTACAAATTGTCTGCTGCAAGAAGAATATAAATGGCGTTAAACATTCATTAAAAAAACGTTCATCAACCGAAGTGTTTGAAGCAATCTGTAGTTTTCAAACAAAATTTTCAATATGTAATTTGTAAGACATGCAATTTGGCAGACATGCAATTTTTAGTTTTCCAATTACTGTTTGATTTTTTAAATCGTTGCGCGCATATCTAGATCTACTTACCAAATAATCTCTTGCGTCAATTCAAATCAATTGCCTTAATTAAAAAATTTTTAATTTGTAGAAAAATTACAAACTGTTTGATTGCTTAATTGCATCCGATCATACAGTTGCATGGGTATGTACTTGAATTTAAACCGAATGGAATACAAATAAGCAATCAAACAGTTCCAGAACTAAAAATGTGTCCGCCTGAACCCTTGATGTTAAAAAGAAATGCTTTAAAAAGTGATGCTGAAATATTTTTTACATGTTGTGTTTGAATTCCCAACAGTAGTTTTTGGTATAAAAAAATTATAACGGCTATTTTAAGTTGTCGTTAGGTCTACATTTCGATAAACGATCTATTCCGAATTCAATTTTGAAATATTATATAACAATTTTTATGTTGTGCCTAAAATCCTAATGGAATATTTATAATGCAAATATTTTTTTAAAGCATTTAGTGCGAACTAAAGGTGAATTTGATTTTGCGTTTTTATTTTATTTTTGATTTTTATACCCTTTTGTACTTTGATATTCGTTTTTCTTTCTTTTCCTTTGATTTTGCTTTTTATATGTGTATGAATATATTTACATTATTTCTTTTGCATATCAGCATTGGAACTTACACACAAATACACTAATGAAATGTTAAATTTGCTTGCTATCTTATTTTTTTTTTTTTTTGATTGTCGGTGGAATCTTAAGTGGCGCCTTCATTCTATAGAATTTTTGTGCGTTTGGTTTTTTTTTTTTTGAACTTTTATTTTTCGTGTTCGTTCATTTGTTCATTCCTTTAACTAAATGTTCCCTTTTTACTGATTAGCATTGTTATTACAATTCTTTCTTTCCCTTTCTTTCTTATTTTCTTTTAAATTTGAAGATTTTTTTTCTTTCATTTTTTTTTTGTATTTTATATTTCATGTTTTTTTATGTTGTTAATTAGTAATTTTATGTAAATTGTTAAAATATGTTCAAAAAAAAAAAAACAAAAAAAAGAGAGAAAAAAATCCAAAGCTAAGAAAAAATTCTCAAAAATTCAAAAAGAAGGAGTCGACGTTAGTTAGAGAAATAGTTAAGATGGGGATTTTTTCGTATTTTTGGAATGTGATGTGATCCAAAAAAAAAATTACTCGATTATCAATAAATTCAATAAAGAAAAAAAATTAGAATAATTGAGATTCGAAAAGACTTTGAATAAAATGATAATTTTATAAATAGAGAAAATCGATTGTGAAAAGCAAGAAATGGAATATTAAAACTATAAACAATAAAACCATAAACGTTTTACAGATAAAATTTTAATCAATTGTTATATGGGCGGTAATAGACTGATGCTTTATATGTATAAGAAAATGTGGGAAATTGGAAATTGTTTCCATATGTTGGCTGAACACAAATAATATGAAATATTCAATTCTTCTAGTATTTAAAATATTGGCTTAATGACAAAGGAACATCACTTGTTAAATAAGATTTGAAATTTTTAATTCCACAGAAGATACTCAGGAATTCATTTATACCCTCTTAAGAAATCCCGTTTAGAATTTAAAAATGTTACAATTTTCTATTGCAATAAGGAAAACACCCTTGCTATTAAGATACTCCCCCGTGTTGTTCCCATACCGAATCTCTCCAAGAAAAAGTCGATATTATTATGACATTAACATTTCGATAAAGTGCTTTAATACATTTTAATTTCAAAATTAGTTTTATTTTTAGCAAAATTATGAACTGTTTAAACAAATTTAAAAAAATTTTTTAAAATTTAAACTAAGCAGAGGTGTTAAGAGAAAAAAAAAATTAATTTATATAAAACTATTTACTCTGCAATAATTTCCCGTAGGAATTTGTATACATTGTATAACAAAGTAAACTGAGTATAAACTGAGGTGAGAAACTAAGAACAACAATTATAATTAATGATTTTTTAGTGGTAACTTGATAGAATAAATGCTCATGACTACAAAATATTTTTTCCGCATTTCTCTTTATGATTAATGCTCTTAATTATTGTATTAAAAACCAATTTAGTTTAATTGAATTTTTTTTTATACAACTACTTAACTGATATATAAAGACTTTCTTTTTATATTATTTATTTAGAAAAAATATGTGTATGTATTATAGTACTATAGAAGATTATCTTGTTACAATTTTAATTAATTACAATTTAATTTACTTACAGGCAATAGGTGCGGTTGTTTGGCCTAAATGCTCACAATTTCTGCGTTTCTTGCATTTTCATTATTATTTATTATCTTTCATATAATGCATTTTGTATATTGATTTTCATTCAATTTGATATATTTGTATATATACTAAGAAGATTATCTAAGAAAAGGAGGCAAATTCTCGCCTCCTTTTTTAAAGGAACCAATTTTTTTGGCAAATTAGTAAAGGATTCATGTGTTGAACATGTCACAAGTAACCAAGTTCTTTGAAAAATAAATAACAATAGTAAACTGTTATAAAACGTAGGAAAATTTCATATTTTGGACATGTAATGCGAGGTGGAAAGGACGAACTTCTACAGCTAATCGTACAGGGTAAAATTCAACGCAAAAGTGGTATTGACCGTAAGTAAATATCATGGCTACGTAACATAAAAAACTGGACAGAAATATCAAATATTTTTGATTTAGTGCATTCAGTAATGGATCGTGAATCTAATAGGGACATCTTAAACAGAGCAACATCCAACTAGTATGACCGCTAACATTCAGTAGTGAGTAGACAATGGAGAGAGAGAATGGATTGTAGATTTCATTATTCAAAAATTATTTAATAAAAACAAAATTATTATTATTAAGATATTTTCAAGATTTAAGGAAATCTTATTTTAAAATGAGCAAAGGATAAAAACAGTTAAAAGAAATATAATACAAGTCTATCTATTGGTATTTCGTCGGTCTGCAGTTCAACTCACTCCTGTATCTGAACAAAATTTTTTGAATTTTTAAATTAGTTAAAATTGTATAAAATATTAAAGGGCAGATTCATCATAATCTAAAAATATAGTTAAGGAAATATGTAAATAATCTGATTATGCGGTGACTGCGTTCCCGATTTCTTTATTCTTATCTCATGCAAATCTTATGATAACATCATAGATTACTACTAATTTTTCATAAAACTGTTGTACTTTCTTTTTTAAGAAATTATTAACAATTGACTATATAGTTAAAAAATCAAATACACACATATACACATATGATTATAGAATACATGTACATAAATAAAATATTAACAGCTAATCATTGTTTTCTAGATTTTAGATTACACCCGAATCAAAGTAAATAACAAACATTATAAAAAAAAAAAAACAAAAAGAAAACAAAACAAAATTTCTTATCTTAATTATGGACACTTTTTGTCCTCAAATGCATTAGTGGAGTACATGGCACGAGGCGTCATCGATATTATAAAGCCGCGCAACTCTCCTTCATCTTTTTGAAAAACAAAAAAAAAAAACCAAAAATTTATTTCTAAAATTCTTTATTTTTTCTTCTTATTAGTTTTGGGATCGTCTCAATCACATTTTTTTTTTTTTTGGAATTTATTCCTAAAAAATTAAGGTAAATATTTTAATGTATGCGTGTATACGCTGAATTTTTGATATTAAATTGAAATTTTTTCTTATTGTTAATTGTTTGAGTCAATCATTTAGAGAGGGAGGTAGAAGGTTTATAGAAAATTTTAAAATTAATTTCGTTTTTCATCTTATAATTTGTTTTGAAATCTTTAAAAATTCATTTGGCGACGGTAATGGACATTAGAAAGAAAGTTTGAAAAATTATGTGACCACATTTTTTTTTCTGTTATATGCCATCAACTTTAAAGTTAATGTATTTTTAGTCCTAGACGCCGTTTTTACAGCTGTTATCATTGTTATGCCGTTGTTACTATCATTAAAGAACTGATGAAGTTTGTTTTGAATATTTTTATTTAAGAGATTTTTTTTTTGGTTTCTTTCCTTTTTGATGTGAGGCTGATGACGTCAAAAAATGGACATGTAAAGGTGAATCGTGAATTTTTGTTCTTTTTTTTTTGAGAATGGGTTTTTATTTTTATGAATTCGTTTTCAATATATTTAGCGGATTTTAACTTTGGATTTTTGGATATAAGGAATAAAATGATACAATAAAAAATGAGAAGAAAAAAAATTGGTTTTATATTTGATTGAGATAAGGTTTGAGATTAATTTTGCTTGTTTTCTGTTCTTGATTTGTTTTTTTACTTATATTCGGGCTCTTTGTTTTGTTGGTGTTCCTTTGTCGGTGAATAATATAAATTTGTTGTCTATATTAAAAGAACAAAGAAAAGCAAAAAAAAAAAATAAAATCAGAAATAATTTTTAATATCGGGAAATAAAAGGATTTTTTTTTCTTATTTGGAGAAACCTTTACCTATAAGAAATTTGCGTACAGAACGGATTCTTTAAAATTTCCCTTCGACTAAATTCCTATACACATACTTATTTGAACGTTTCTATATGCACAAATATTGTATACCTGTTAAGTGTCGAGGATTCCCTTATTCTTGGAATTTTTATTGAAATTCTTAGAAATTTTTAGTAGAATTTTTTGTTTATTCTTTTCATACACATTGGGAAAAGTATATGCAGTCGTTTTTTATTGAAATATTTTTATAGGAAATCTTTTGTTTTTGCAAGAAGACGAAAATTGAAGCTTATTTTATTTATTTAAGGACAACTTTTTATTTAAATCAGAATTAAAATCTCAAAATTATTCACATAGTGAAAATTTAAGAAAAAGCTGATTAAATTCAAAATAAAAAATTAAAAAGTAGGTGTAGAAAATTGCTTGATATTGATTAAAACCTAATATCAGCCAAATAAAATGTGTGCGATCGTCTCCTTATTATTTATTTATTTATTTATTTATGTTAAGCTCAAACATATCACATAACTTAAAATTAAAGAATGAATATACAGATGCATATTTTTTAGACAGAACAAATTTTTGACTTAAAAATTAAATTTAAAAATTATACAAATTTAAAAATAAAACTTATTAGTAATAATATTCCATTAAATATGAATATAGACAATAAAAAGCTAAACAAGAATTTGTTAAAACAAACCAAAGGGTTATACTTAACTATAAGTAAATAGAAGCTTTTTCATCGTGTCTTTCTTCAGTGAACAGTCAAGTCTGTGTATGTGTTTGCTGCATAAACGCAGCATTTTGCTGACAGGTTCATGTTTCCTATAATTAGTCCTATGAAAAGGAACCATGAAAACATCCGGGGAACGAAACCTAAGGTTGAAATTAAACACAATTTTATTTAAAATGTCGGGGGATATTAAGTCAGTTTTCATAAGCTAAAATATGAATAACAAATCCGCGACATCACGTCTTTTACCCAGTGTGGGTAGGTCAATTAATTTGAGTCTGTGCTCGTAAGGTGGAAGAATGGTGCGAACCTCAAAAACATTTTTTTGAATAGACTCTATCCTATTAACATGTATATCATAATAGGGTGACCATACTTATGAAGCATATTCAAGATGAGAACGGACCAGGCATGTGTAGAGTGATTTTAAGACATAAGGATCATTAAACTCCTTTGACCAGCGTTTAATGAAACCTAACATCGAGCTTGATCTGCATATGATATGATTGTAGTGGTTTATAAATGATAACTTGCTATCGAAGCAAACACCCAGGTCCATTATTGAATCAACTCGACTAAGAGCTTGGCCATTCAAAGTATAGTTTGTAAAAAATGGCCGTTTTTGCCTAGAGTAGCACATTTGTGCACATTTATTTACATTGATTTTTAGGTTGTTACTTGAGCACCAGGCGTAGAAGCGGTTAAGATCATTCTGAAGACACAACGCATCATTTGTAGAGCTTATTTTTTTTTTAAATTTTCATGTCATCAGCATATACTCGTATTAATACCTCACTGTGCGTTAGCATCGAAACAACATCATTAATTGAAATTATGAACATCAATGGACCTAAGTGACTACCCTGGGGTACACCAGAATTAGACGAAAGAGGCGAGGAAATTGCTGAACGAAAGAGGACTCTGTAAGTCCTGCCAGAGAGATATGACTTTATCCATGCTAAAAGTTGTCAGGGAATCCTAAGAGTTTCAATTTTAAAATAATAATTTCATGTGGTAGTATGTCAAAAGCTTTGTTAAAGTCTGTGTAAATCACGTCCGTCTGATACCCATTTTCCATATTATTTGAGAAAACTGTCGTGGCTTCCACTAGATTAGTCACCGTGGATTTTTTTTATTAATTGAATAAACCGATTTTCTTCTGAAGAAAATCGGCTTTGATAAAGTGCGTATGTAGCGCACGAAATATATTAGCGAAAAATAAAAGTATTTTATTCCGAATAAAAGGAAGTTTTATTTTCACACCAATTAATAAAAAAAAATTATATTTCAGAAAAATTATCAACCATTGAAAAAAAAAAAACATTTTTTTGAGCACCGTGGATTTCTTTTTCAAGAAGCCATGCTGACGCGCACTAATGAATGGCATACAATGGAAATAAATATTGTCATATACCATCGACTCAAAAACCTTAGGAATTGCCGACAGTTTGGCTATAGCACGATAGTTTGACATGTCATCATTTATTGTTTTTCTTATGGATTGGCCTAATGAAAGCTTCCTTCCACACGGGGAAAATACCCGAAGAATAAGACTTATAAAAAATTAACTTAAGCATCTGCTTAAAATAATCTCAGGAACTCCATCTGGTCCAGGGGAAGGACTAGAACCTAAATTAGAAAGATATTTTTCAATCGCAAAAGAGTTCGTGGCAAAATTTGTGAAGGTAGTTTTAGGATAGTTATCAATGTGCCGAAAGTTGTCGACATTTAATTGAAAAGATGAAAAAGAGTAAGATTCGGCGAAAAAGTTACGAAAAAATTCAGAAATAATTTGGGAATTATTACTTGTATTCTCGTCAAATTTCAAGAAGGTTGGATAACTATCACTTTTCCTCTTATGGTTTATGAAATTCCAAAAGACTTTGGGATTACGTATTAAGTTATCCGAAGTTTTATAGATATAGTAGTCGTAACGTTCTTTTGCTGCTAATTTAAATTGATCATACGACAATCGGAAATTATCATAGTCCCTGTCGCCTTTAGTGGAGAGATATTTGCGCCACAGCTTATTCTTTTTGTTGCGAAGTACCCTCAACTTTTGTGAAACCCATGGAGGGCCAGAGCCAGTATCTTTAGTTTTCAACACTGGAATAAACAATTCAAATGCAGCAAAAATAATTTTGTAAAACTTACCCGTCATAGACTCAATATCAGTTAAGTTAAATACTGAAGAGAAGTCGTAAGTAGAAAAGAAATCATTTAGCAATGCGAAATTCGCCCTTTTAAAATCAAAACGATAGAAAAGGGGCTCGTCAATTGATGGTTGGTCGTGAATGCAATAAGAGAAAGATATCGGAGGATGATAGATATCAACGTTAACCAATGGATCCGGGACAGTTTTAGGTAAACAATTGTACCAATTGGAAGTAAAGACTAGATCCAGTTGAATCGATTGATGGTTTGTTATTGATGATATTTGTTGCAAATTATTTAGATGAAAGGTATCTATAAAGGACAACTTCAACTCACTAGAACAGTCAATTGATATCAAAAATGGTTCCTCATCATGATTCTTCCACCTAATTTTGGGGAGATTAAAATCTCCGAAAACAAAAACCTCATACTCAGGGTTAAAAGAATTGCATAAATAATCAATTGCCGAAGAAAATTTCGCATATAACTCATTACTTGAGTTGGGCGGTATATAGCAATTGACTACGAAAAGCATTTTGGATTTCAGCTCAATTTTAACTGCGATGATTTCAAGGTCATCGGAGTCTTGAATGTCAATAATACTAGCTGATAACGAGTTTTTAACGGCGATTAATACCTCACCTCCCTTTGGTGTGTGTCCCTGCAAGAGAAGTGCATGTCTGCCCTTTCTAAAAACAGAAAAAGAAGAGTCGAATAATTCAAGATTATTGATGGAGGGGGACAACCAAGTTTTCTTAGAACATAAATATCACAGTCAAGAAGAGAAGAGTTAAACAGAACGGTGTTAGTTTTAGTACTTAGTCCACGGACATTTTGATAGTACAAAGAAAGTTGTTTCACAGTCCTTGTCATACTATTTCGTAGCAGAATAACAGTCCTTGTCATACATTATCGTAGCAGAATTTACAAAAAAATTGACTTAGATCTACCCAATTGTGTATCTTTATCTGCCTTTGCTTAAAAATCTAAATTTGAAGACCAATCTAACTAGTTAATAGTATTAAACTGTCAATTATACAATTACAAAATATTGAAGAGTTTTTCTTAAAAACTCAAAATAGCTAATTCTGTTTTTTCATACCTTGAAACCATTAAGATTAAACTAATACTCATTTACATAAGTAAATCTAAAATTGAAATAAAAAAAAAATAGCAAAAAATAATCTTTCTTGAAAATATACTCGTAAGTCGTAAACATATACATACAAATGTATATTAGATAAAATATTCTGCACGTTTATTAAATAAGTGAGCTTAAATAAACCAGAGTTTAATGTCGAGTAGTTTATGATATTGCGCACAAAGATATTGTTAGCCACTTTTAATAAATGCCTTTATTTTTAATTTAAGATATTGCTTAAAAGTTTAAGAAACTTAATCTTAAACTTAAATTGATTTTCCATCATTTAATATTGGAAGGAATTTTCTTGAAAACACTTCTATTTTAAGTGCACAGTCACAACTATATATTAAATGATGGCTTAAATAGAACATTTAATATCTAAAAGCTGCTCAATTTGAACTAATTTATCATAATAACTTACGAAACATTTAAAAAATTCTTGAATGCCACATTGTACAAATTCTACTTTATTTGAATTGGGGAATAATTGTTTTAGTCCAATATGGTTGTTGTACGGCAATTCTAATATTGCGTTCTAATAATAACCACACACCGCACATCGGCATCCATTTAGGTATGGCACTAAATACTTATATTTTAACTAAGTTCTCCTGCTTCTGTATGTGGCTATGATAGAGTTGCGAATGCAATCAACTTGTTACTGAATTATTTATTTAAGACAATTGAAATATGTGGTCATTCATACCGATTCAAATTTGTCACTCAAGGGGTTTTTGCCTTGTTTTTTTCATTTTTGATAACTACAGTCACTCATACATTTATATTATAAAGTAATGTAAATATATTAGAGTAATTATAATGTTAAAAAATATATCTAGGAAATTTTAAGCTATAAAGTAATTTTAAATGGCCATGTTGTTATATGTACGGTATTTAATACAAGAAAAGCAACAAATTTGTTTTAAATCTAAAAAAGAATGTTATAAATTTGGAAATAAAAATTCAAACAAATCACACATTTTACATACACATATCGTAATTTAGATTATTCGAAGTGATATATTAAAAATGTTTAATTGCATGTTTTACGTGAAAATTTTTTTTTTTTGTTGGAACTTAAAAGATTTATTGTGATTTATTTTGTATAAATTATTTGTAAATGAAATTTCTTCAATGACATTAAAAAGGACTAAAAATTTATGACTAAAATATAATTTTCGCCATTTTTTTAATTCACAAAAATAAATAAGAACGTTGAATAGCAATTAACAATAAACTTAGTGTCGCCTATGTTGTTTGTTGATGTCCCTTGAATACAACATCCTGACTATAGCAGATATAAGCCAAGCACAATATAATGTACGTAGTTAGAATTTTTACTTCAAGCACTCTTTTTAAACACACCGTTGCTGCGCTGCTTGAATGTGGACTGTTGCGATGACTGTTATGACCTTTTTTTTTGGAGAATAATGGCGACGGCATAATTTCTTTAATAGAGAAATAAGTTTTTAATACCCCTGATTTATAACATTGCAATAGACACTATAATATATTCGGTTAAATTTAAACCCGACATATTATATTCAAAATAATTATTTTAAATTAATTAAATTGAGAATATTAATGGCAAAATGTTTTTTAATTAAAAATTTTCAAGAAATTTCTAATAAAATTTAACAATTTTATCTTTAATTTATTAAACGTTTTGGTTCATAGATAATTTTTTACTCATGTTCCATTATTCTATAAAAAAAATTTTAAATTTCCAGGAACAAAAATAGGAGGTACAATACAGAGTGAAACAGCATAGTAAAGTGGGCTTACTTTTTTTTAAATTTGGAAAACTGTAAGTTTTCTCATTAAGATTTACATGTAAAATAAAATTTTTTCATAAACGCAGTTTTCTGCTTATACTGGAAATTTTCTCTTAAGGAATTAATTAGTTTCACTCTGCAATCCGAATCAAATACTGTTGTTAATAATAATTTCATGATAATGGCTTTAAGTAGGCTCAAATTGAATTATTAATCCTATTAATTCTAATTTTCAATAACTTTCTCATATTTCTAATATAACAAGTATTTGCATAGTTCCATTCACTCTAGTTAGTAGAAGCGCTTATTTCAATATGATTAGATTTTTTAATTCAAGTAGGTGTAGTATACCAACATCCCCTACCGAGTACAATAATTATCATCGAATCAAATGCGGGTAGAAATCTTCAACAATATCTGAATAATTTACCGATAAATGACCCTCAAGTTCAAATATTTTTATTAGTTTTAAAAGTACCCAGTTATTTCAACAAAAGATAGCACCACATCTATTTCATTAAATGACACACTTTGTATACAATATTTTTTTTTTACAAATATCAAAAATTTCATTAATAATAGTGTAATTAATGTCAAAAATAAAGAGAATTTTATTTTAATCAAGACAAAAAGACGAGCATGATGTTTTGAATTTTTAATTAAAGATAAAAATTAAAAGAAGAATTGTTTACGATATGAGTTAAATGGAAATTTAGTAAACAGAAGTAATGATAAAAACACAATATAATGTTCCAAAAGAATGAATTTGAAACTGAAATTTTTGGATTTAATAAAAACTATTTTAGTTTCTCTTATATTCTTGTATATAATATTAGAATAACAATAGTTAAAGAGAATCACTGTAGTATAACATTGTTATTATAAAATTGTAATGAAGTTAGTTAATTAATTTATACAGGTAAATAAGGAGAATTTAATCTATAATAAATTTTTAGATGATATTCTTTTATATTATTTAAATGCACTTGTTTAACATTTAAAAATTGGTTGATTTTAAATCGGAGTTTTAGCATAATTTCATTAAATTTTAAAAAATTCAAATGTTAAACTAGGGTAATAATTATTATGGAACCTTAAATAAATATTAAGTTTAGAAATAAAAGTAAAAGGTTAAAAAAAAAAAAAAACAAAATGGAGAGCTAATAGAAAATTCAAGTTTTCAAATTAATAATTATAGTGCGTATTTTAAATGTAAATAAGTATTTTTGTGTAAAGGAGTGTAAAAATACTACAAAAGCGAAGCCACAACAAGCCACTGCAAAAACGAAAGTTTATGCTCAGGATTGTGTTAGCAGGAAGTTCATATTTGTTTGTTAACTACTGCAATCTACTGATGAGATGACACAAATATTAAATCAAAGACGTAATACGCTATTTAAATTATTTAATAAATTGAACAGCATTTTCCCCTTTGTTCGTTGCCGATAGAATGTAGGACTTTAACAAATCCTCTGAATCGCACTTTGTTGTCGATTAAGCACTTTATTTCTGACCAGCTTTTTCCATTTGATTCCGTTTCTTTGATTGTGGTTCGTCGCCAAGTGCCAAGGATCTACTCACCTCCTTTTTCCTAGTGGGTTCCAATCAAATACCTGCTCGTCTGCCATATCAATCGACCTCCGTAAAGTGTGCTAACCATTTCCATCTTCTTTCTTTTGTAGCCAGATGTATAGACTTCTGTACCGTAGTTGGTCATAGTTCATTATTTGTTATTGCCCTAGGCCAGAATATTATTCTTAGGCACTCCCGTTCGGTACCCGTTGTCATCGTTTAAACTGCTTTCATTATCTCATCGAGCACCACTATGAAGAGGAACGATGACAGAGGACACCCGAAGTTATTTCAATAGGTATACTTAGTTCGTCAACATGTAAATCACTAGAACCCGTATTCTCTTACATGGCCGTATTACGTGAACCCTCATTACACTTACATTGTTTACAATTTTTCCGAGCACGTCCTCATTTTCAGATGGTTTCATGTTTAATCTTGCTCGAGATCGACTAAGGTGCCGTAGAAAGGACTGCTTCACTCATTACATTGTTCAATGATAATTCTGAATTTTAGAACACGGCACGTTATTCTCCCAGTACTTTGTTTATTTTTGGTTCAATTCTGCTCATGACAGTTGGTGTATTGTGCTTTTTTTTATGTATTGTGTTGGGAGGAGATAAACCCTCCAATTCGTGCATACAATTGAATATTGTCTTTCTTTGGCAGTTTTATAAGCATTTAAAAATAATTTCCGTCATATAGGGACCATAGCTGATCTTAAAAAGTGACACTGTATTCCTCAAATTTTAGGTTCTTTTTTCGAATTCTGCCAGCGATATAGATATATCAAGGAAAACAATCATATTTTCACTTCATATCGGGTCATTTTGCTTATAAATAAACTTGATAATGCAAAAATGAGCGAGCCAACAGTCTGGCAACTTGTTTATTAGTTACATAACTATTTTTATGTAATGATTTTTCTATTCGCTTTTTCTATTACATGTGTATTATTATTAGGATACAAATATAAATTAAAATTCTAAGATGGTGGTAAAATTTGTCACGAACTCTTTATAGATTCTCTAGGGTTGCTTGAAAATGTTAAAATAAATTCTGCTTACTAAATTTTCTTATTTCTTACAAATTTATTTATTTAATGATTGCATTTTTAATATTTATAGAAAAATTTCCTATATAATTTTAAAAGAATCATAAAAATCAAAGTGTATTCGGGCATAAGAAATTTTTATTT